AGTGGGGGTTAAACGCTAGCACATGTCGGCACATGTCGATATGTTATTGATGATGATCCTGCTAGTGGGGGTTAAACGCTAGCACATGTCGGCACCTGTCGATATGTTATTGATGATCCTGCTAGTGGGGGTTATACACTAATAATTTCTGACGCCTGCCACTGGGTGAATACATTGGCAAATTCTGACGCCTACCAATGGGCGAACACATTGGTAATTTCTGTTGCCCGCCAGTGGGTGTTACACACTGGCCATGACTGATAGACGAGACTACTACTGAATTTGATTATTGATGAGTTTAATTTTTATATGGATTTATTTACCCTTTTTGAGCCTAGAATTTAATATTATGGGTCCTTTGTAACTTAGTTTCACCTTTGTTTATATTAATTTCATTATTTGTAGGTGGAAATTAAGATAGGAATTAATTTTGCAATAAGTGACAATTTGCACATACTGCAGTAATTTAACCATATCTTTTTCTCTATGTATCGGATTGAGTTGATTCTTCAGGCGTTGGAAAGCTAAGAAGCAGAGCTACAATTGATGTTTTATGAGCTCAACCCAATTCCTTCTGTATCGATACAGAATTTAAGTTGAAAGTGACGGTTTTAACTACAGACAGTGCAGAAATAAAGAGACGGGCTATGTTTTTTTAAAGAGTGGGCCAACTGCAGTTCAGGCCCAAACCCAAAGCCCAATTCCCATGTCTGCTAGGGTTAAGGGGTTTCTAATTTCTGGGAGATATATATAGGCCACACAGACGGGAAAGGAGAGGAGGTTGTTCTGCGCAAGGTCAAGAGCACCCAGCCGCCCAAAATCCCAGCACCCGCCTCTGTTGTTCACCAGCAGCAGAAGAGGACAGCCGCCGCCCAGCCTTGCTCTTCTCCGCCCAGCCACGCTGCCGCCCAGCCTTCTTGGGAGATCCCGACCACAGCACATCATTCGGCAACTGCAATTCTCCGTTTGGGTTTTGTTGTTTCTGATTTCTTTTTATTATGATTTTCTGTTGGGATTTATTTTTCATGGCTGTTGAGAACATAAACATGTGTGGCTAGGTTTCTTTGAACTAGGGATGGGTGGATTTTAATTTTTGAAGTATGTGACTGTTTTTGTTAATTTAATTCAAGATTTATTGGTTATTTGCATGACGAGTTTATATTATTGAACTTAATGCATTGAGAGCTTGATCACCTTTCAATTGATTTAGTGATTTATACATGAACTTGAGAAAGAATTGTGTAAATTATACCAATAATAATATAAATCGTGTGTTAGACTATGAGACCGAGAGGTAATTAGTTCACATGTGATAGTGGAGGAAGAGAAGAGAGTTAGTAGCTCCCCTTTTTAAGTTAGAGATTTTCATAGAATTTAATGCTCATTAATTTGTTTAAAATTACATAGAGATATGATTAATTTAGCAAACAAATGAAGGATTAGCTTGACTTGAGAAAGCTGGTTAATTAATTTAGGAAAATTCGTCATCTCATGCAATAACACTATTATTTGAACTTGAATTAAATTAATGAAATAGTTGCATAATTCAGAATTAAATGAAATCCAAACCCTAATTCCTTCTCATTCATAGTTTCTTTAACTTAGAAAATTCTTTAGTTTAGTTTTCTTTAGTCGACTTAGTTTTCTTTTAAATAGTTTAGTTCTCCCCATTAATTGGTTAATTCAACTTAGGTTAAATTAATAGGGTCTTGGTAGTGTAGGATAGTCCTCGAGGGAACGATATCTTACTCATCTTATATTGCATAATCGATTAGGTTCACTTGCCTAAAAGTAGTGCGTATTTGGTGCATCAATTATGATTCTGCATTAACGGTTTTGTCATTAAACTTTTTGTTATTGAACCGAATCTGATTTTGCAGTGACGATTTGTCATTGAATGCTTTGCAATTGAACTGAATCTGATTTGTCATTGAAAGTTCTGTTATGCTTACATGGTTTATCTGGCATGCTTAAAAGTTTTACCCAAGGGCTATCCATATTTACTTACTGAGTTATCTCATAGTTTTCCTTGTCCACGATTTCAGGAAGCGATACCGAGGACGGGAAAACAAGGGGAGTGACGAGTTAGAAGGCTAGCCATTTTGTAAAGTGAATATAGATTCGAGATATAGATCATGATCTTGTAAATTAAAGTTTAATCAGAGATTTTATACATTCATTTAAATGGATTGTTAGTTTGCAAGAGATTGGACTGGAGATTTTGAGATTAAGTCATGTTGGACATAGAATTAATTTTGAAATATCCGATCTTAGTTATTGGATTGTCAGATGTGAATTGAATAAGTTTCGAGTCTTGTGCATTTGTGGGACCCGTTCACGAGTGCACGGCGTCTGTCGTGTCTCCGGATTTAGGTTCTGGGGCGTGACATCTTTTACACCTAACCCCCCCTCATCTCTATTTCTACAAACTTGTTGCCATTTAACCCAGTTTATTTTTCTTGATTCCCCCTGCCCACCCCATAGAAATTCCCTCCTAATCTTATCAAGAATTTTGATGATACCTTTTGGAGCGAGGTAGACCGACATGAGGAAGACGAGGAGAGATGAGAGCACATAGCTAAGAAGGGTAAGCTTACCACCAAACGATAACCAGCATCTATTCCATTTCAATAATTTCTTCCTGAAGCCTTCCACCAACGGTTGCCATAGTGATAGTCTTCTATGGTTACCACCCACCAATACTCTAAGATATTTGAAAAGCATTTCTCCGACATTGCAATTCAATAGGCAGGCCATCTTCTTTAACCAATCCTTCTCAGTGTGGATCCCGTATATTCTACTTTTGGAATAATTTATCTTGAGTCCAGAGGCTACTTCAAATATTTGAAGTATACACTTTGCTACCCAAATGTTGTCCTCCAAAGCTTTCCCAAAAAGGATTGTGTCATCTGCAAATTGGATATGGGAGAAGTGTGAATCATCATTATCAACCGTTCCTACTTCCATCTCTTCAAAGAGGTTGTTGTTAACTGTAGATGATATGATCCCATTGAGCCCCTCTGCCACAATTAAAAATAGAAAAGGTGACAAAGGATCACCTTGTTTTAGCCCACGAGATGTTTTGAATTGTCTAGTTGGACTACCATTTATCAAAACAAACAGCAAGCTGGATTGTAAACATTCCATGATCCACTTCCTCCAAGTAGCATCAAATCCCATCCTCATCATAATGTAGTCTAGGAAACTCCAACTAACTCTATCAAATGCTTTTTCAAAGTCTAATTTCAACACAAAGCTTGAGTGTTTCTTCCTCTTTGCCTCATCAATAAGCTCATTTGCAATGATTACCCCTTCACATAATTGTCTTCCCTCAATGAAAGCCATCTGTTCATCCCCAATAATATTTGTCATCACCAATCTAAGCCTATTAGCCAATAACTTGGTTATAATTATGTACATGGCTCCAATGAGTGAAATAGGCCTATATTCTTCAACACACTGTGGGTTGTGGACTTTAGGTATAAGGATAATGAATGAGACATTAGCCCCCCTGACTAGTTACCATTTGTGTGGAATTCCTGAACAAAGCCAACAATATCATCTTTAATATCCTGCCACGTATCCCTGAAAAATTGAAAATTAGATCCATCGGGTCCTGGGATTTTGAGGTACCACAATCCCAAACTGTAGCTTTGATTTCTTCTTGTTCGAATGGAGCAATCAACAAGTTATTTTGAGAAGAAGAGATTTGTTTGAACAAAATCCCATCTAACACCAGTCTCTACCAATCTTCTTCCTTAAACAAATTTTCAAAATGGTCAGCAGTCCCATTTTTTATGTCTTTTGCCTCCGTCAATCGAGTGCCTAGTATCTCAATGTTGTTTATCTCTTGTCTACGTTGCCTGCTTTTTATAGATTGGTGATAAAATTTGGTATTTGCATCTCCATCTTTCAGCCAAGTTTTCCTTGCTTTTTGCCTTCACATACCCTCTTTAATCTTTAGATTCTCCCATAAATTCAAAAAGTGCTGTTTCATTTCCCCCACCTCTTGATCAGTGAGCTAACTATGTTTCTATAACTTTAATTGCCTTTGTGGCTTCTTCAATTTTTTCATCAATCTTACAAAATTCCATGCGACTCCATTCTTTGATCTTGTTTTTCAGTAGCTTCAATTTCTCCTTCAAAATAAACCCCTTCCAGCCTTGGATTCTTGAGGAATTCCACACGTCAACTACCAAGTCCTTAAATCCTGGATGACTCAGCCAAGCATCAAAGCATTTAAAAGGTTTTGACCCTAATTAATCAGCTGATTTTTTAATAGAATGGGGCAATGATCTGATACAGTACACCTAAGTCCCCAATGTTTCATTGTTGGCCAGTTTACTAACCACTCTTGTCTCGCCCCAAAATTAATACCCTTTGGCTAAGCGGTTGTTGTAGCATAGCTTTAGGTGTCGAATCCATAGAAAAACTATACTAAATCAATAAAAAGAGTTGTCACAATGAGAAATTAAATTAAAAGATGAATTCTAAAATTAAGAATAAAAATATTTAAATAAAAGATGATAATTATAAAATAATGAAAATAATATTATGATAAATAAGACTTCAGGGTTCACTTAATTGATTTGTTTAACTGTTATAAATTTTGATTCATATTTATTACTCAATTGCATGTTTCACATTCCAAACAAACAATCGGAAGATTTAACTGTATGGGATTAATTGATGCATGATGAGTTGAAATTGTATACATATTAATGTGGAATTGTTGCCTTGATATTATTGATATTTGGATGAGTTTTATGAGTTTTGATTGAGTTTTATGAGACTTTACATGATTTTCATTCTTTGTGCAGAAAAGGATTTGAATGCATAAAATAAGAGTTTTTAGGATTTATTGAATATTTTCTAAAAGTTGAGAGACTGAATTGCAAGAAGAAGGGTGGCCATTTGGAACCTATATGAATGAATGTTGAGTTTTGGGATCTAAGTGCTCATAGTACGAAATCTAGAGGACCAAATCTGCTATTTTACCATTGAAGAAAGTGCAAAAGGATGCCAGAAACCCGACACGGGTGTAGTGTCGACACGTAACTGGGGTGTCGACATCATGCGTTAAACGTCTAGAATCAGATTCTGTTTCCTATTTTGTGTCAACACATAATCTGAAGTGTCAGCACCACGCGAGCAGCATCCAAAATTCAATTTCCTATTTCTGTTCCAAGCCTTACTTCCATTTCAATTAGGGTTTCTAAAATCCTATAAATACCCATTCAAATTCAGAATTATGGGGAGTTTTGAGAGGTTAGTGGCAGCCCTCTTTTGGGCATTATTGGAGATCAAGATTGAGGTTCCATCCACAATAGAAGATCAAGGAGTTCGATTTCCTCAAATTGGGTTTTGTTTTTCCTTAGGTGTTTATCTATTGTTTGATATTTGAATGTTCATAACTTTGATTTCATATTTTATTATTTTTATTATGAACTGATTTATTCTACTAGGGTTACGATGTAGCCTAATCAATTCAATATGGATTTAGTGATTTTATGCTTTCAATTAAAATTATTTGCATGAGGAGTTTATATTATTGAACTTAATGCATCGGAAATCTGATCACCTTTCAATTGATTTAGTTATTTATGCATGAACTTGAGAAAGAATTGCGTAGATTAGACCAATAATAATATAAACCGTGTGCTAGACTATGAGACCGAGGGATAATTAGCTCACATGTGGTAGTGGAGGAAGAGAAGAGAGTTAGAAGCTCCCTATTCTTAAGCTAGAGGTTTCCATAGAATTTAATGCTTATAAATTTGTTTAAAATTACATAGAGATATGATTAATTTAACAAACAAGTGAAGGATTAACTTGACTTGAGAAAGTTAGTTAATTAATTTAGGGAAATCCGCCATCACATGCAATAACACTCAACAATTTGGTAATCTAGAATTTATATTGATTGATTATGGTGAAGTTAATGCCTTAGTACCTCATATCTTGGTTAGTTTTAATTTAATTGTTATTTTCTTTTTATTATTTTTTTAGTTAAACTTTCTTTCCATTTGGTTGTCTAAATAAATTTGGATTAATTATTTTGGTACTTAGTTAGACACAATCCTTATGGGTTCGACACTCTTCTCATCATTATATTACTTGGAGCGACTAGTACACTTGTTAGGATGATTTTAGTGCATTAAGTTTTTGGCACCATTGCCGAGGATTATTGATTTAATTAATATCGAAGTTTATTAATCCTAGATTTAATTTGAACATTTTCTTTTATTTCTTTACTTTGATTTTTTTTTTTTTTTGTTTCTTTTGTTTTTGTTTTTGTAAGTCTAACTATAGATCAAGTTGTCTTAAATATTGATGAGAATTATCAATGGCTTGTGCCAGAGATAAGGGCACAAGTTGGAGCAATACTTACCAAAGAAATTGATGATGATGAACTTGAACGATTTCAAGCAGCTATTGAAGGATAGAATTAAGGAAGGCTCTAATAGAATGATTAAATATCACTTGTGAATGATGTGGATTAGACCATTTTAGTTCCGGTTGCTTATTTAAACGATATAATTTGCTCAACTTAGTTGCTGAAGAAATACAAGGTGAGTTACCTAGTGCAACAAAGAAAAATCAAGAAGAAGAGGTAAACACTTTACCCTTAGAGATTGAAGGACAACTTGGAGAAGTAGAAATTATGCCTGCAGAAACTAAACAAGAGGATGTCCCTAAGGAGGAAGAGGAAAAAGCTCAGGTGTCATTTGAAGTGTTCAATGGGGAGTCTCTTTTAACCAAATCTGATTTTAATGATTATTTTGTTATTGATATGGTTGATGAGATTCTGCAGAAAAACACTTATGAGGATCTATTTGAGATTTACCTTATTCAAGCAAAAGACTCAATCAAAGAATACGTAAATTGCTTGAACACATCATCTTCCTTGGAATCAAAGGGGGCACTCCTAGAAGAATTGGGAAGGCACATCTACTAGCCTAAACCCAAACCACCTCAAAATAGTCATTGGAGAAAATCTTATGGTGGATTCAACTTAAGGGCAAGAAAGCCAAGATTTAGAAAAACAAGAGGACATGCCCTACGACCTAATCCAAAACCACCTTGGAGTGGTAGAAAGTCTAGCTAATGACTATAAATTAAGCGCTTCTTGGGAGGCAATCCAAGCATAAATTTTTTTTTTCTTTTGTTTCTTTGTCTTTTATTTTAATAGTTTAGGTTTTTTTTAAAATCATTTTCTCTTTATGGCCTAGGTTAATGCATAAATTGTTGTTCTTTAATTTTGGCCAGGTCATTGAACAAGTTTGAGGGACGAGATTATGGAAATTCACATGCTTAAAGTCTCCAATTAAAAAAACTCAACTTCAGAACTTAAATTTTCAAGTGCAAAACCTGAGAAGTTTCTCTTTTCTCTTACTTTTATTTTACATTGAGGACAATGTTTGATTTAAGTCTAGGGGAGAGAATAACTTTAGGCATCCATTCTTACATTAGTTGCATTCATATTTGCATGATATACATTTTTTTTAGAAATTAGGGATTATTTTTTTTTTAGGAATTGGTCCAATTAGTGTCAAGGAATTGAATATTCTTGAGTTAGAGCTTTTAAAATCTTTTACTCTTAGAGGAGATACAAATCTGAAAAATAACACCATTGTGATGAAGTTTAAGGTCATGAGTATTATATTCTATTTAAGCACAAGTTTGTAGTGAGAAGTTTAGAGAGAAGACTTAGTAGCATCTAAAAAGCACCAAA